TTAACTTGTTATTTTAAATTACATACTTGTTAAATCCGCATACTGACTTTGCTTATAATTGTCTTTACTAACTAATTTGTTGTTGTGTTCAATTCTAAACACGTTAATTGACAACTTAGCTTAGTTGAATTTACAAGTCTTTACTTAGAAATAACAATATTGTTATAGCTAGTAGGAAAATATAGCATTGCCATAACAAAGTACTAGCATTTTCATAGTTTCATCTGTTGTAACCAATAACGTAGTTTGTAGATGATCGTCAATCATTTAAGCCATTCATTTGGCCTTGTAATAAACTCCGTCGGTAACAAGAGTACCTTAGTCAAGATCTTAAGCTTGCTTGTTCATTAACATGGCTCACGAGATATGGCCCATTATACTTGAAGCCATGCATGATATAATGCAAGTATTCGGATAGACTTGTAAAGTTCCTTTTGTTTCATGAAACAAATAAACAACTTTCTATTCAAAAGAGTTATAAAATTGCCTTCTGATTTTTTTATTATAATCATTATACCAGAAAACATTTTGGAAGAAGCAAGTCAAATCAAATACAACTGCATCATACAAGTATACAATAAGAACCCACCCCTTGCACAACTATTAGATTTTGTTTCTTCACACAATGGTTTCACGATTGCATAGAATCGAGCATTGGTGTCGAATATAAGTCCTGCATTTGGCCTCTCCAACATAAGGTAACCTCCTGTTGTGAATACCTTCCTTGGAGTAGAAGCTACCTTGGGCAATGCAAAGAGTTGTCGACAAGTAACAATTAAAGTACAAAAATATGTTTTGCTCCTCATAATGGAACGGAACATAAGCATGTCTTCTGTTGGAAGGTGCACCCACGCTAGTTCTGCAGAAGAGGGAGGCCGTCAGGTTTACCTGGTTTTGAATCCTCTTTTTAACTGAGGTCAATGAGCTAAAGAGAGAAAAGATGGCAGACTAAACAAGCTATAAGAGGAAGAAAGGGAAGAGATGAGTTCGTTGGTTCTGCAAAGGAGAGGAAAAGAAAAAGGAAAGAGAATGGGAGGATGAGGGCTTTTATTTTGGGATAAGGTCCGTTTTTGCCCTAGAAGTTCTCTTTTAGGAGTTGTTAGTATCCAGAAGTTTTATTTGGAGCAATGTCACCCTAGAAGTTTACAAAATGTAGCAATGTCGTCCTGACTTAACAGAGCCAAACGGTCAAACATTAGTTGACCTATTATGTTGAGATGGCATCTCCACGTGGCATCCACTTCAGTCTTTTATGCCAAGTTAGAGCTTACTTGGATTTACAAGTGAAAAAAAATTGATCCCATCATCTTCATCTAGATCCCCAATTCACCTAAGCTCTAATGTGTGTGAATCGTCCCCACTCAATAGAATCATGAAAGAATATTTTCTCCTTCCTTATTGAATTGCTGCACTTTAAATAAATCACATGCCTTCAACAATCAAACTTCAAAAGTTCATGGAAGGAACAGTGTCACATCCTGCAAATTTAACCCTGACAATAAGAATGGAAAATTAAGTCAAGAACTAATACGGAAAGTAGATTGGTTGATGAAGCTGTGCATACCATAAAATCCAGATAGGGTTCGGACTGATATTTTTGAAATTATTGGTCCAAGAAGAACAAAATAGGAAAATCACAGAAAATTTCTAGAAAATTTCTAAAAAATGGTAAAAAGGTATAATAGAGATTTTGAAATCTTATTTGAGGCTTAGAGATAGAAATAGCATAAAAATAACTTATTACAGAATTTTCTATAAACAGAAGTTTTTCTGAAAAAATTAGTTAAAAAATTAGCTAGAAATAATTATTTTACATATATAGAGGCCTCAATAATTCCAAAAAAATATGAAAAAATTATTTAAAAATTTATGTGAATTTATAAAATTTTCCCAGGCCTTGAAAGTGTAAGAATTAATGTTAGAATATTTATTATCGAAATCTTACCGGTAAAGCCCAATTTCAGAGAAAATTCAAAATAAATAATTAGAGGTTGAAATAAATTTGGAAAATTTTCAGGAGACCTTCCTATATTAAAAGAGAAATTATAATGGAGAGAAATAAATTTTTGGAGGCTCAGAACTGTTTTTGAAAATAGTAACCGAAATAGTAAGTTTTGGTTAGAAATTTATAATTTGTGATTGGGCCGCACTTCTCTTTCCTTTCTAATTAGTTTTGGACTTCATTTGGGCCAAGGAAGCCCACAAAATTCGTGCAGCCCATAGTTCCTCTTGCCAAGAGAGTTCAAGCCTAATTTAAGGCAAGCTATATAAGAAAAATCAAGAACAAGGGACACTTGGGATGAGCTGAAATTCAAGGGTTAAGAAGAGGGACACATGTCCCCTTAGGTAGCAGAAAATAAGGCCATTTGGAGGGGGTTCATGTCAGTTTGTTGGGTCTATAAATACCCCCCCTAAATATGTGAAATTTAGCCAAAATTGAGAAAAAGAGGGGAATTCTGTTCAACCAAAAACTTAACCTTAAACAGCACCTAAAACCTTTCAAAGTAAGAGAAAATCATCAAGCTTCAAGTAAGGATCCATTAAGGTATGTCTAGGCTTGATTTTGGTTAGGTTTAAGGGTTGTTTTGATTGAAATTTCATGACAAAATCCAAGTCACCATGCTGTCCAATTTTGGTTAACTTGAGAATAGGCTAGGGAAGGATAGACACTATGAATATGAGTTTGGAATGGTATGTTTAATTGGTATTTGGATTGAATTTTGGAAGAAAACTAAAGTTAGGGTATTAAGCATACATTTCGGCCACCATGTGCTTTTGAGGTTAGAAATTGTTTCAATATGATTTGATGATTCCAATGAGTTTAAAAAGTGTTTTTGTGTAGGGAAATGCCAAGAAAAAATATTTAAAATCATTGGAATCAAAAATAAAAATTTTGAAATCCTAAACCCTAGTATTTGGCCAAAGCAAGTTGAGGGGCAAGAAGTGTGATTTTGTTAAATCTAATTTGATATTTGGATTCTATATAAAAAATTATATAGAAATGGCCCAAGAGATTAGTTGAAATAAAGAGGAAACAATAATGTTAAAAATCAAGGAAAAAGGGGTTTATATGAGTTTATTGTTGAGTAAGAATGATTTTTCTTGGATTATTGGTAGCATAAAATGTGTTGATACTTGAATTGATAGGCATTGTACAAGAAAATAAAGAGGAGCACCAAAACCTTAAAGAGGTCGAAATATGTATTTGAGTAAGAGGTAGCATTGAACTCATAATTTGATTACTTCTTTGCTTATTTAAATGTATATGTGTTATTTGATTTATATTGTCATGATATGATTGAGCAAATTATGTGATTATGTGTAAAATTCTATGTCAAATATGCCTTGACAATATGTTTTATGGAATGGTTTAATAGCTTGATTGGTTACTCTCTTTCCATGGCAATGAAATGCACATGAAATATTGTATGATAATTTCTAGTTTCAAGATAACATGTAACATTTTTACATAGCATGATTAGCATGATAATTATGATTCATTACTACTGAGATTTTCCATAAAATCTCATTCTTTTATGTTCAAATATCTACCAACTTGGGGTTGAACCAAGCAAGGACAAAGGAAAGGAGATTATCTTAGGAGATAAGTAAGTTTAATGCCTTTTAATGAACATTTTGTAATTTATGTGAATTATATATGAGTTATATTGGATTATTGTAATAATGACCAAAGTTGACATGCATATGAATATTTGGTTAAGAAATCATGTTTAATTATGTAATATGTGATTGAAATGGTTCTATGGAGGTAGAAGAGGACAAAAATCAAGAGATTGCATGAAAAAGGGATAAAAGAACCCAAGAAATACCACTTTTTGGCACCAACAAAATTCTAGTCAAATGAATGAGATTTTGGCTGAAACTTGGCAGGCTTATAGATCATATTTTTAGCTTTAGAACAAGTGGTATTTCATCAAATTTGGAGTTTTGTACAAAATGTTATGCCTATCCAAAGTTAGGCATAAATTCTAAAAAGTTGAAAATTTAGAAAAATTAAAAAAATTACCATATGAACTGTACCACTTTGTGTGAATTCTGGGATTCATTGGTGAGGTCTAGATACCAATGAGTATTTTTTTCTAAATATCATATTAAGAGCTAGAATTTAGAGTCACCCCATTTTGATTTTTCTAAAATTAGTTATGGTTTTGCAAGGTTTGGCCTTTATTAAGATTACATGAATAATAACCCAAATTTAATGAATTTTAAAGTTCAAAATTTTTCAAATTAAGGCCATAAGAAATTGTCCCAAATGGTTTTAATTGAGATAAAATACGGTCTAAAAGTAACGTGTGACAAATAGAAAAAAGAGAGAATCAAATAATAAAATTATCCAAGTTTTAATTCTTTCAATAGAATCAAACCCAACTAGAATTGAGTGAGCCACAATACAAACCTAAAAATCAAATCGAGCATATCTAGAAAACCATGATTGTAAGTCCATAGGAAAGTAGTGATCCAATAATTTTTTCTTCAAACTCCTCAAAAGTGATGCCTGAATCATCCCGACCACCCATACTTTTCCACCATCTCTCGGCACGATCTTCTAATAAGAAAATGGCTACTCGTGCATGCTCATAGGTGGTACAAGAAACAATCTTAAAAATGGTCTCAAGCTTATTAATCTAAGATTTAGCTTTTAAGGGACCCACTATAGGAAGTGAGTACCAAGACACAACAAACAAGACAAGAGACGAAAGGATATGTGTGAATATTGTATATTGCCACTGTGTAATGCAATAAAAATCATAGAACCTTAGAATCTGATACCAAATTTGCAACAGTAGAACTTTTAAACCTTTGAATCAATCACTTTTAAAAAGTTAACCATTGTAGCAAAGAAACTTTGTAAAACATTTGAACTGATTTTCAGAAAAATGCCTGTTACCATGTCTAATTCAAGTAGGGAGGGGGGAAAATCACCAGCTTTCAACTGTATTTCCCTTCCAATGGCCTATTGTTGTGCACACGAGGCCCGCCTTCCTCTTGGTCATTTCTTGATTTGTGTGCGTCATCCTTGTATAGGGGCCATGCTAATCTTCTCTATATCGTTCCAATTTTATCGAATGTCCCTAAAGGTTTACAATACCATAATCAATCATCATTAAAGCTTAACACTTGCTCTAACCCTAGACCTAAAAATTTTCTCTAAACAACATAAAATTACTACTATTAGATAAAGCTAGATGAGTATAATAACTTTCATGAAGAGAGTTTAGTGAAAAGAAGTCATATAGCTTACCCAAATGATCTGCAAATTTGAAACCCTGTACTGAAATCTAGAATGGCGTTCAGAAGAGGAGAAGAAGAAGACACATGAAAAGACCCCATATTAAAATGAGAAAAAATTGCAGTTTAAAACCCAATTTAAAAAAAAATTTTGCTTGCATTTTCTTTTATTATTTTTATTTAGTAATTTCATTTACTTTTAATTTCTTTTATTATTATAAATCCTATTCTAAGTAAATTCTCTTTACTTAATTAATTAGAAAATAAATCTCATTTCTTAAGCATGAATCTCCTTCTAATATTATTTAAATACTATAAATAAAAACTAGGATATTACAACTCTCCCCACTGAAAAGGAATTTTGTTCCCAAAATTCAAACAAACACTTACAACAAATAAGAAAAAAATGCATACTAAGGAAACAGGTGTGAGTACTCGCATCACATCCACTCTTTGGTTTCCCAAGTAGCATCACTGGGAGTTATTACTTTCTAAAAGACTTCTACAAGCTAGATAGTTTTGTTCCATAGTTGCTTGCCCTTTATGTCTAAAATTTCCTCCGATTCTGCCTTGTAAGTCAAGTTCTTATGTAACTCAACTTATTTAGGCTCGATTACGTGAAATGGATCTAGATGATACTTCTTCAATTGTGACACATGGAACACATCATGAATGTTGGATAGGTGTGGCGGTAGAAAAATATGGTAAGCAATAGGCCCAGTTCTCTCTAAGACCTCATATAGGCCAATGAACCTGGATGTCAACATCTTGGCTTTGATAGATCTTCCAATACTCATGAGTGGAGAAACTTTCAAAAATAGATGATCACCCACATCAAATTCTAAAGATCTACGAAGATGATATGCATAACTCTTCCGATAGCTTTAAGCAGTCAATAACTTTTGTTTAATTAGTTTAATTTCTAGGTCCTGATATCCACGAAGTCAGGACCAATGATAGTTCTCTCACTCAATTCTATCCAACAAAGCGGAGATCGAAACTTTCTCCCCATATAAGGCTTCATAAGGAGTCATCTGGATGCTAGCATGGTAGCTATTGTTGTACACAAATTCTACTAATGATAAGTGACTGTCCCAACTACCTTTCAACTCAATAGCACACGTTCATAACATATCCTCAAGAGTTTGAATTGTCCTCTTGGTTTTCCCTTATGTTTAAGGGTGGTAGGTAGTACTATAATTTAACTTAGTGCCCATGGCTCTTTGTAATGACCTCCAAAAGTTTGATATAAACCTTAGATCTTTATCAAATATGATAGACTCCAACACTTTGTGAAGTAGATCTCATCACTATATAATTGTGCCAATCGCTCCTAAGGGTATGTGGCTTTGATGGGTAAGAAATGCACTGCCTTATTCAATTTATCAATGATAACCTAAATTGTATCATAACCAGTAAGTTCTTAGCAAACCAGTGATGAAATCCATGAAAATGCTATCCCACTTCTATTGAGGAATATCTAAATTCTGAAGTAGTCCTGGAGGCTTTCAGTGCTTTATTTTGATTCTTTGACAAGTCAGACACTTCATCACAAATTATGTCACACCTCTGTTCATCTTTGGCCATAAGTAGTTTCTCTTTAGATCATTATACATCTTTGTTATCTCTAGATGCATTGAATAGCTACTTCGATAATCCTCTTCCAAAATTGTCTTCTTAATCTCATCATCATTAAGGACACAAATTCTCTTTTTGCACCTTAGGATCCCTTCCTCTCTAATATCATAGTCTAGAACATCCTTATTTCCTAATGCCTCTTAAATACTCAATAATCAGTCATCTTCTATTTGTGCTGCTTTTAAATCCCTGAAGAATTCATAATCACTTGAAATTAACTGTAAAGTAATTGGCATCTCAGTACTACCTAGAGATCTCTTAAATCGTCTAAGTAGTAGTGCTCCTCCAAGCTCATATGGAAGACATGCATTGTCTTTCTACTCAATGCATCAACTATCACATTAGCTTTATTCGAGTGATACTTGAGTTCAAAGTCATAATCTTTAAGAAACTCCATCCATCTGCACTGTCTATTATTCAATTCCTTCTGCTAACTAGAAACTTCAAATTGAGACCCATATAAGTTATGCCTCCATATCTTTAGTGCAAACATAACTACAACTACTCTAAGTCATAGGTGGGGTAATTCTCCTTATGGGGCCTCAATTGTCTTGATGCATAAGCCATTGCTTTGCCTCCCTACATTAGGATACAACCCAAACCCTTTAGTGAAGTATCTATATACAATGTGTAAGGACAACTGGGGTCTAGAATAATAAGCACTGGAGTAGTAATTAATCTTACCTTCAACTCTTAGAAAGCTACCTCACACTTATCAATGGTTGATCCTTTTTAGTTAACTTAGTCAATGGCATAGCCATTTGAGAGAATCCTTTGATAAATCTTTGATAGTCACCAGCTAAACTGATAAAACTCCTCACCTCTGTCATAGACTTTGGGGGATCCCCACTTCAATATAGCATCCACTTTACTAGGATTAACGAGCACCCTTTCTACATATACTATATAGCTAAGAAATTTTATTTCTTTAAGCCAAAACTCACACTTAGACAACTTGGCATACAGCTAATGGTTCTTCAGTATTTGCGATACAATATGAAGATGCTCCTCATAATCCTCCTCACTCTTAGAGTATATAAGGACGTTATCGATGAAAACCACAATGAACTGATCTAGGTTAGGCCTGAAGATTTGATTCATATAATCCATGAAGATGGGAGGGGCATTTATTAAGCCAAAAGGCATGCCCAAGTACTCATAGTGACCATATCTTGTGCAGAAAGCAGTCTTTGGAATATCCTCTACTCTAACCCTAAGCTGATGGTACCCTGATCTCAAGTCAATCTTATAGAAGATAGATGATCAAATGAATTGATCTAAGAGGTCATCTATTCGTTGAAAAGGATACTTATTCTTAATTGTCACTTTATTCAACTAGTGATAGTCAATACACAGTCACAGGCGACCATCATTCTTTCTTACAAACAGTACTAGTGAACCCTATGGCCAAACACTTGTTCGAATGAATAGTTTCTTAAGTAGTTCTTCTATCTACTTCTTTAAATCAACCAACTTTAAAGGAGATATCTAGTAGGGTGCTTTTAAAATGGAAGTTCTGCTAGGCACTAGATCAATGAAAAATTCCACCTCTCTCTCTAGGGGTAACTCGAGCACCTACTCTGGAAATATCTCTGGAAATTCTTTTACCACTTCAATCTGATCAATCCTAACCTCCTTATCCATATTAGTGGAGAAGAACATTGCATATGTCCAACAACCTTCTCGAATACACTTGTTTACTTGAGTGTCTGACAATAGCATGGGACATATAACAGCCTCAACAGACATAGCACATAAAGAAAAAGTCACAAGTTTCCTCTTATAATCAAGGATGGCATTATCAGCTGACAACCAATCCATGCCAATAATCACATCAATGCCTTTAAGCAGCAAACTTATCAAATCAATCACAGAATCACAATGCTCAAATAGAAGGAAAATATTTAAGCATGCTTTAGTAGTCATGACTATAGCCCCAACAGGTCTAGAACCTCTCAAATTATAAAGCAAGTCAATCATATGAAAATTAAACTTCTTAGCATACCCAATAGATATGAAACAATACGTAGCACTTGAATCACATAAAATAGGAATAATGTATCCTTGGAATGAAATTATACCTTTAATTATGTTAGGAGACGCACCAGCCTTCTCCTATGTCACAGCATAGACTCAACCCAGAACTGTAGAATGGTTGCTTTGAGGTGTCTGCCAGCCTTCTGGGCAAAAGCAAGCAATATGCCCTGTCACATCCCAAATTTTAGGCCTAAAAGTACTAGAATTAGCGTAAAATGGACATGCTATCAAAACCCTTTTGGCAGAGGTCCCAGAGGTTTCCTAGAGGGACAGAGGGATTCTCAGGGATTAAATCATAAATGAACAGTTTGCTAAGACTAAGAAAAGGGAAAGTTAGAGATTTTAGTGAAGTCTTGAGGCCCAAGAATGAGAAATAGAGATGAATATAGGCTAATGGTAATATTGAAGGCTCCAATAAGGTGAATTTTGGGTTAAACCAAACTAGGGGCAAAATCATAATTTTGTAAAGTTAGGAGACGCACCAGCCTCCTCCTATGTCACATCATAGACTCAACCCAGAACTGTAGAATGGCTGCTCTGAGGTGTCTGCCAGCCTTCTGGGCAAAAGCAAGCAATATGCCCTGTCACATCCCAAATTTTAGGCCTAAAAGTACTAGAATTAGCCTAAAATGGGCATGTTATCAAACCCCTTTTAGCAGAGGTCCCAGAGGTTTCCTGGAGGGACAGAGGGATTCTCAGGGACTAAATCATAAATGAATAGTTTGCTAAGACTAAGAAAAGGGAAAGTTAGAGATTTTAGTGAAGTCTTGAGGCCCAAGAATGAGAAATAGAGATGAATATAGGCTAATGGTTATATTGAAGGCTCCAATAAGGTGAATTTTGGGTTAAACTAAACTAGGGGCAAAATCATAATTTTGTAAAGTTTCGGGCCTAAAAAAGGGTAGTGATGGAAAGTTGGCCTGAATACTTTAGAAAAATTCCAAAAAAATGGGACTAAGGTTTAGAGACCCGTATAAGGCTAAAAATGACGAAACGCCCCTTGAAGGAATTTGTGGAACTCCTTGAGTTTTAACTTATTTTGAATATTATCAAAAATAAACTATTTAAAGTATAGGGAGGCCTCAGATAATTGGACAAAAATGGGAAAAAATACTTGGGAAATTATCACAAGTTTTAAAAATAATTTCATCCATAGAAAGCGAAGAGGTTGGCTTTAATA